ATCATACCCTCCCTGTGATGCAAGCACGGCTGCATCTCTCCTGGCTGTGTTTTTCCATCTCTTCACACCCCACTTAAAGGTACCAAGCCCCTAAAAATCCATTCCCTTCTTTCTACAAATCCACCTGATGTCCTTCCTTAAATCTTTCACTTTTTTGAGGAGGGAAAGAAAAAGAAGAAATTAAACAAAACGAAGCCCTCATAGTGTCTTGGCATTATTTCAGCAGTACCTGTGCTCCTCAGCACACAGCACCTCCCCAGCTTTCATCCTAAATCACAGCACAACAAACAGGCTGTTCATTAGGTTCTGTTTAATTAAGCAATACAGATCCTGCCCTGATATTTACAATCCCACTTGCTCTGATTTATTAGAGAAAGAGTCTCGTTTTTAAAGACGGTGACTGTAAAGTTTAATACCGCTTGACTTAGTGCAAGTTTCATTTACGGCCCCAGGCTGACGCACGGCAGGCCAGGCTGAGAGCTGGTGGGCTATTAAATCAGAGCTAACTGCGCGTGCAGGGGGATGACGAGCCTCGTTACAACCGGTTCAGCGGCTAATTACCCCAATCTGGATTCCCACATTTAAGCCAATTCGTTGCCACTTTTCCACGGCCCTGGGGAAGAGCTGGGCAGGGCGTATGATTGCTGTGAGCGTGCACTTGTTGCAAGCAAGAAGGGAAGCAGGGGGTTGCATTGGTGGTGGTAGTCACACTAACATGCCGCCATCCACCACTTCCTCCCAAAAATTCTGGGACCTGCTGGACATGGGGGAATAATGATAGGAATGTCTTATGGGCTCTGCGATGGGGTCATCAGGGGCAGGATGGGGACACTGGAGGGGATAGGAACAGAGAAGTGAGGATGGAGACACTGGATGTGATGGGGACATCTGGAAGAGATAAAGGGAACATCACAGGGAGGATGGAGACAGCATCCAGCCTTCCACTGGCAGGGATGTGGAAGCAATGCATAGACAGGGACATGTGGCACTTCCCACAAGGCACTGTCTTGAAGGTAGCAGATCAGTCCTGTAGAGGAGAATCTCCCTGCTTGCAAGAGATTTCTGGCCCCCAGGGGACCACTCTCAGACTTCAAAACTCTACGGGCCTCATTAGGGAGTTATGAGAATGGCTCTTCGGTGACAATTAAAATAGAATTGCATGCGGATGTGGCGGCAGATGGTGCTCCATACACTGGGCATCCCCATAGGACAAACCCCCAGATCAGCTGTAAGGCATCACGGAGGAGATGAGGCTGCAGGGGGGGGCAGAGCATGGAGCTGCCTGCCGCATTCCCCGGCCCACACACCACATCCAGCCCCACGCTGCACCTCACGCTGCATCCCGAGCACCCAGGCAAGCAGGATGAGGGCTGTTTCCCCAGACAGTGAGAAGGAAGAGGAGCAGTGAGTTTGCCAGCTTCTACCCCTGCCTAGGAGATGAATGCATCTGGGGCAGCCTCCTGCCTTCCACTCCTCAGCCTGCAAGGCAGCTCAGCAGGCCCAGAGCTCCCCCCAGGGAGGACGAGAAGGCAATGCAAAGACAGCAGCGAGCAGCTCATCCCCTGCAGCCCCCAGGTTACCTCCCAGCAGCTGTGGGTCCTCCTAACAGGCCAGAAGCCAGCAGGGCACAGCCAGAGGCACTTTGCTTGCGGGTTTATTGGGCAGCACTTCCAGTTCCACCAGTAAGACCAGACTGGGAGGAAGACAAGCCCTTTGGCATAGAGACTGCAGGGACGTGACAGGATGAGGGCTGGGGAAGCCACAGTCCATGAGGAAGCTTGGAAGAAGCTGACAGACCTCAGCCGAGCTCTTCGTCTCAGGCCTGGGCAGCATCACACCGTCTCCTGAGGCTTCAGCTTATAGTGCACCTCGGGGAGGGCTCTCAGCCGCTCTGCAGCCTGCAGGGACCAGACACAAGGCTGGGGCAGCTCAGCAAGCAGCCAGACCACTCCCTGAGCTCCCTGTGCCAGGCCAGCTCCTTACCTGCTCAGGGGTGAGGTCCCGCTGTGCCTGTGCTAGCATCTCATAGCCCACCATGAACTTGCGGACAGTGGCAGAGCGGAGCAGTGGTGGATAGTAATGGGCATGGAGCTGCCAGTGCCCACAGTCCTCCTGCAGGTGGGGGCCTGTAGGGGCTCCTGAGCAGGGTACAGGGTCAGGTGTGCAACGGGAGAGATGAGGACAGAGGGGCAAAGGAGATGGAACACTCACCATGCCAGCCCATGGAGTAGGGGAAGGAGACTTGGAAGAGGTTGTCGTACTTGATCAGCAGCCGCTGCATGATGGAGGCCAGGCCTGCGGGGTTGGGGGCAGTGAGTGCACCCAGAGCTGGTCAGGACCCCCAGTGACACTAGGCACTGGTGACAAGCCCGAGGGATGTGCCAGCCACTCCCAAAGTCAGCACCCCAAGAGCATGGAGCATCGTGTCCTTCATTGTCACAAAACCCCATAGAGCTCCCTCCCAAAAAATAGCCCAGGGCATCACTCACTGTTCCTCTCGCTGTCACACAGGTCCCGCAGGCGGAGGACATGGCGGCGGGGCAGGAGCAGGGTCTGGAAAGGCCAGGTGGCCCAGTAGGGTACAACCACCAGCCAGTCCTCATTCTCCACCACCAGCCGCTCCTGTGGGACACAGCACTCAGGGAATGGGGACAGGGACATCCCCCACTTAGGGACAGGGGGACAGCCACATCCTCACCTTACGTTGAGCCTCCTGCTCGGCGTACTCCAGCAGCATGGGCACACCATGCTGGCTGTGGTGCTGCCGCTGTGTCCGCTCCTCCAGGCGCGCCTCGTTGGGGAGGAAGCTGCTGGCCCACACCTAGCAAGGACACAGTGCTGTGTTATCAGCTGTCCCCAACGAGCTGGCCCCATCACATCCCCCAGGCACTCCAAGATCACGCCACAGCACCTAAATCCAACCCTACAACCAACCAACCACGGTTCCGTGCTGCCACCAGGTGGGCAGTCCAGCATGCAGCAACCACAAGGGACAGTCCCCAGCAGAGAGGGGACAAGAAGGGGACTGACCCCACTGCGCTCCCATCTTCCAGGGGGCTTTGTCCTAGAGCCGCCCCTGGGGTCACAGCCTCACCTGGCAGTGCGGGTGTGGGTTGGAGCAGCCCATCATTGCCCCTTTGTTCTCGAAGATCTGTGGAGGAAGCAGTGTAGGGGGTGACAGGTGACAGCACCCCCATCCCCACTGCGGGGAGAAAATGCTGTCCCCAGCATAGGGGGAAACCAGCACAGGAGAACAAAAGCCTGATACATAGAGGCACCAGGTGAGGTTGAGGGACCCAGCCATGGGGCTCCAGCAGCACCTCCCCTGTGTGCCCCCCAGGGATGGGGACACGTCTCCTGTCCCCAACAGACCTGCACCCAGGGGTAGGAGGCCCCCAGCTCTGCCTCCAGTTCTGCCCACGCATCAATCACCGCCCGGATCTCCACCAGCGACATCAGGGGCAGTGTCAGGTCGGAGTGCGGGTGGAAGCACATCACCTTGCTGAGGAAAAAGCCCCACATGGGTGAGAGCCCCAAAATCAGAACAGGATTGCAAAGGAAAGCAGCAGCGCTGCCTGTTGCTAGAACTGGAGCACTCACCACACACCACGGGCAGCTGCCGCTTGGAACAGGGGGTGGCCACTGTCATCTGGGGAGGAGAGAGAGAGTAGAGGGGGAATTTGGGCAGCGTCCACGCCCCTACAGCCCCCCAGAACCTCTGCAGGAATTACCAGGCTCGGGGGCATCTGGCTGCAACGCAGGGAAGTCATTGGGGAAGACAAAGGTGCCCTCGTAGTTCGGGTTGACCTGTAGCGGTGAGAAATGGAGTCTGGGGATGGGGGGTGAGGCACAGAGGGAGAAACAGGATCAGGGTGCCCCATGTTACCTCACCGTTGGCCCGGGTGGCCCCAGGGCAGAGAGGGTTCTTGGGGTCCCAACGGGGCACGTTCTCGGGGGGGGGCTTCTCCAGCTGTCCGTGCCAGGGCCGCTTCACACGGTGCGCAGACACCAGCACCCACTCATCCCGCAGTGGGTTGTAGCGGGAGTGCTGGTGCTCTGTGGAATGGCAGCAGGGTCACTGAGGGGGCATGAGTGGGGGTCATTCCTGAGGGACATGACTGGGAGGACACGAGTGGGTTGGAGATGTGAATGGGTGGACACAAGCAAGGGACACGATTGGGGCAACACGGTAGGGAGAACTGAATGGGTGAGTGTGAGCGGAGTAGGAAATGAGTATGGGACGACAGTATGGAGACTCAGGTGAGGGAGGGGACATGAAAGGGGAACATGAGTGATAGGACTCAACTAGGAGTACGCAAGCAGGGGTGGGGACAAGTGCTGGATACAAGTTGGACAACATGATTGGGGGGACATGAGTGGGAACCACAGGTGGGCCATGGGCACAAGTGTGTGAAGAGATGAGTGGGGAAACATAAGTGGAGTCACTGCTGGGGGACACGAGCAGGGTGGTGACACAAGTGGGGCACGACTGAGGGGGAGGTAAGTGGAGGAACATGAGGCAGGAGAAGCTGTGGGGGAGGCTACTACGGGGACACGAGTGGGGAGAGACGAGTGCGAGAACACGAGCGGAGTGGGAAACATCTAACGAGGAACACGGGCGGTGGGACTCGAGAGGGGTTAGGGACTTGTGCGGGGACCCGAGCGGTGGGACAAAAACGGGCGACAGAAGCGGGGGACACGAGCGGGTTGACACGAGCGGGGCGGGGACTGCCCCTCCTCCCCGCCCCGTGCTCCCCGGCCCCGCCGTACCGCTGGCACGGAAGCCACCTTCGCCTCCCCCCGCCGCCGACTCCATGCCTCCGCCGCCACCCGGAAGCCCCGTCCCCGCCGGGCGGTCCCGGCTCCGTCCCGCCCCTTCGCGCCGGCGCAGCGCAGCGGCCGGGAGCGGCGTGGTCTCGACGGGGCGGTCCCGGGTCGTCCCCGCGGGCGGGGTGGAGCGGCACGGCGCGGCGGGGCGCGGAGAGGAGAGGAGAGGCGACATGGGGGTGGGGGGGCCGTGGGTGCTGCGGGTCGGGCTGGGGCTGGGAGCGCTGGCCTTGCTGCTGCAGGGGCTGCGGGGCTGGTTAGCCTGCAAGCGGTACGAGTTCCAGCCCGCCGAGATCGCCGAGCTCGCCCGACACCACGCGGGTATGTGGGGGTGGGGGGAGACGGGAAGTGGAACCGAGAAGGGGAAAGGGATCGGGAAAGGAGCAGCGGTAGGGGAATGGGGGTGGAAGGCTTTGTTGCTGGGGGGAAGTGGTATGGGGACGGGCATCAGCTCCCATGGGGAGTCCCGTAGAGTCACAGCAGAAGCCTGCACGCTACTGGGACAGGGTCGCCGTCACCTCGGGGTCTCGCTCTAGCTGGTGCCGGGGGGGGGTCCTGGGGCTCTCAGTCCCATACATCCTTCTCCACCAATTGGGGAGGCAGTGGGGCGGGGACTGGGAAAGGAGTGTTCTCCAGGCAGAGCTGCCAAAGGCCATACCGGGACCCCATGGCTAAGGATGCAGGATAGAGAGGCTGTTAGGTCTTGGTCCATGCCAGGGATTCAGGCTGACCCCGCTATTGCAGGGCTGGATCATGAGCTGGCTTTCTCCAAGATCATTGTGGAACTGCGGAAGAAGCACCCGGGCCACATCCTGCCTGACGAGGACCTGCAGTGGGTGTTTGTGAATGCGGGCGGCTGGATGGGCTCCATGTGTCTGCTGCATGCCTCCCTCACTGAGTATGTGCTGCTCTTCGGGACAGCCATCGACACTGGGGGACACTCAGGTACATGGGGCAGGGGTGTCTCTGTGCTCTTTTAGCCCCTCTCCTTCTGGGACTGTCCATCCCAACGGCTGGCAGCCCTCTTATCTCTGCAGGGACATGATGAGTGGTGCTTTGCCCTTTGCAGGTCGCTACTGGGCAGAAATCTATGACACCATCATCTCAGGCACTTTCCGGCAGTGGAAAGAGGGAACCACCAGAAGCGAGATCTATTATCCCGGTAAGCATGACATGAGGGCTGCAATCCCCGTCCTGCAGTATGGCCACTCTGTACTGTCCTGCAGCCTCTTCCTTCCAGCTGGCAAGAGCCTAGAGAGAGGGACAAGGCGCTCCATGTCTCCTCACCACTAAAGTGTCAACAATAGAGGGGTGGCTGCAGGACACAGGGAAGGGCTGGGAAGGGGCTGAGCACTGCATCTCCCAGCCCCACACATCTCCGCTTTGGGCATGATGTGGGACAGCTACTGGGAGTGATGCCATTTGTGTTGGCAGGGGACACCATCGTGCACCAGGCAGGAGAGGCCACGTCAGTGCAGTGGAGTGCAGGCACCTGGATGGTGGAGTACGGCCGAGGCTTTGTCCCATCCACACTTGCCTTCGCACTGGCAGACACCCTCTTCAGCACTCAGGACTTCATCACCCTCTTCTATACCCTGCGCGCCTACACCAAGGGCCTCCTCCTGGAAGCCAATGCCTTCTTCAGCACTTTGGGCTGCTGAGCCTGGCTGGACAGTGTGCCCCAACAGCCTTCCTCCCCCTTTCTCCTCCTCCCTCTCTGGGCTGCAGATCCCACAACCTGGGGATGAGGATGCTGGTGCATCCAGCACCAAGCAGTCCCTGGGAGGTTCCCCACGTGCCATCTGGGTTGGCAGGCAGCTGCGGCTGTGGTCAGCACAGAGCACAGTGTCCAGCTGGCAGCTCCCACCGTTGCTTCCAGGTGCTGGCAGCACACAGTGTCCCCAGGCACCGGGGGAGGATGCCCAGGCAGTATGGGGATGATCAGCCTCTGTGCTGAAGGTCTGTTCTGGCACCTATCCCTGCTGTGTCACCTGCCCCTTGAGTGGAAGAGATCCCTTCCTTGTGCCTCCCCCTTGTTTTCCCCCCAGGGGGGACAGCCACAATCTGTCGCCTTAACCAAGCATGGCCTCCAGGCTGTGCATATATTGAGTGTCTGCGGGTGCCCAAAACTCTGAATCAGCTCAGGATGGGACTTTGCCCCTCAAAACACTTCCCCTGGCTGAGAGCCAGCAAGGTCCCCAGCCAAGTGGGGGTGTGCACTCTGCTCACGGCCTGATGCCCGTGTGGGCTCAGCAAAGGGCTTCCAGCTCTGTTCTGTTCCCAAAATACTCTGTGTCCCCAGGCCAAAAGCCTACAGTACATCTCTCCTTATCCCTCCAACTGGCAGCCCTGTGCATGGGCTACATTGTCTTTTGTCACCCCGGAAGAGATGGCAGTAATAAACATCATCATCCCACCTGCTTGGGTGTCTGGTGTGTGCAGAGCCCCCAGCATGAGATATGGGTCTGGGGGCTCCTTGGGGACAGCCGTGGGGGCACAACAGTGCAGAGGGATAGGTAGGAGTGTGGGGAGAGAAGGGTGTGAGAAGAGCATGGAAGGTGATCCTGGGGTGCATGGGCTATGCACACATGTGCAGGGCTGCAAGCAGTGCCCTGTGTGGATGTGCATTAGCTGTGCATAGGTGTGTGTGTGATTAAAAATGTGCAGGTGGATAGAGGGCAGGTGTGTGCACATGTATGCATATGCAGAGCAAGCATGCATCTATATGGTCAGGAAAGGCTGGTGCCGGGGGGGATCCTGGTGCACAGCACATAGCGCATGTGCATGGATGTATGTAGGCAGAGAAGCTGTGTGCGTGCGTTTGTGCACCTCTGTACACGTGCCCCATTCAGGTTCACAGGTGTATGTACATGCACACATGTGCACATGCCTGTGTTTATGTGTGTGCTCCACAGGCCTGTCGAGGAACATGAGTGATCCTGCTCTGGCCCACACAGGAAGGCGCTAACTCAGCAGCTCGTATCAATACTGCTCCACTTACAGCGAAGGCCACGTAATGAAAATCCGATGGGCACGCTGGTGGGAGTAAATAAGTATGCCATTAAAATGAGAAAATCAAAGCTCTGGACAGGTCTTTTCTCTTGCCCATTGATTTCTTTTATTACGGAAATATTGCTGCTAAATAACATTAGTGTGAACAATCTCAGCAGTGTTTTCAGTAGCACCTGTGTCAATAATGCCATGGTGAGCAAGAGTCCCCATGGGGCTGCCCCAGGGGTGCCCTTATCACCTCTAGGTGTGTTCAGCAGAGGAAGGGAGCAGCTCAAGGGGTTTTGGTGAGGGTTGTCCTTAACCACCATTTGATTCACATGGGGAAGCCGAGGCAGGGTGCGCGCTCCCCTGCTACCACTGACTCAAGCACAGCCCCTGTCCTGGGCTGTGGATTGTGTTCAGAGCGCTTCAGCTGCCTGCACCCAAGCACCAAGTGACCCAGACACATGGGAGGGCTGCAGCTTTTGGCACACAGAAGCCAAGTGGGGATCCCAGGGCACCTCAGAGGTGGCCAAAGAGACTCTGTGATGTGGGTCCAGCTGCAGCTCCTCAGAGCCATCACAGGACAAATGCACTTCGCTGCCCAACACGCACCTTCACGCTGCAGCCTGCTCTATCTTGCTGTCCCTCCACACACAGCGGGTATTGATCAGCCCACAGGATCTATTTCCCGATTCCTCCTGCAGTATCTCTCTGCTCAGAGTATCTCTCAATCTACTCTGCTGTCTGCTGTGCCTTTCTATACCTACAGTATCTACCTGTGCTGCTTCCACTGCAGCCATCAATACACATTTTTCTGGGGGATTTCTCTTTTCTCTCCAACACTGCCAGATCCCAGCAGTGTACAATGCATAGCGGGTGGAGGGAACACGGCCCTTGCAGGTCCAAACAGGTACAGTCCCCATAAGGTGATGGGGGACACGTCAGTCTGGTGCACAAGAGGATGGGCACAGCCCAGCACAGGGGGTGCCAGCACCCTCGGGTGCACCAAACAGAGGGGCTGCAGCCCATAATCTGGTGCTGGAAGTGCTGGGAAAGGATGGGCCGAGGCGGGCTACAGCTGTCCAGCCTCGAAACAGGATGGCCGACAGCTGCTTTATCTCCTGTGCAAAGATAAACAGCGTCCGGGGGCCCTGCGGGGTCGGAGTGCTGCACTGCCGCACGAGCCCCGGGCAGCACAGCGGTGAGCTGCCGCTGCTCCCAGCACAAAGCGGCAGTGCAAGGGTAGAGGCTGCAGGATGCTGCGGATCCTGGACCCAGCCCACGGGCAGGGCTCGTTTTACGGGTCAGGACTCGGCGATTGCCTCTGGCTTCAGCCCCCCCTTTGTACCGCCCAGTGACAGAGTGCACACCACCCCCCCGGACACACGTGCGTACACACCTACCTGTGCACATAGAGCACACGCCCACCCCTCCCGACATGGATCGCTGCAGATAAGCACACAAGCCGCACACACCCAGCCCCAGCACGTCCAGGTAGGCACATCATTGTCCCCAGCGGTGTGAAAACGTGTGCACACACAAAGCACACACACAAAGCACTCATGTTCAGCTCCTCCAACAATGCTGCACGTGTGCATGTGAACAACTCTGCACAATGTATGCACTCTGCTCCTGTGGGGTGAATGCACACCTTAAACACCACGTGCATGCACACACACACACACACACACACACACACCATCTGCACAGACTGCCCCGCACACTCACACACACACACAAGGAGTTCACACACAACTACAGGCGTGCTGACACCCTACATCACACACACACACACACACACACACACACACACACACACACACGGTGTTCACTATCCTTGCTGTGCACGAATGCACGGATTTCCGGCAAAGCAACATGCAGATGCGTGCAGGCAGAAACCTTCTGCGCCCATACACATACGCAAGCAGAGCACACTCCTACAGAGGAGCACAGATCCCCGCACACGCACACACAGCCGCTCTAGCAGCCTCGGGCTCTGTGATCTCCGCGGGCCGGTCCCGGGGCTCCCCTGGGGCTGCGCAGGTCCGGCCCTCCCCGGCTGCCTCCCTTGACGTGCGCTAGCAAATGGGAGCGGGGAGGGGTGTTGCTGCCTGCCTGCCACTTGTTGCAAGGAAAGAAAAAAAAAAAAAAAAAAAAAAAAAAAAAAAAAAAAAAA